CAAGACCTCACTCCAGTCCTCTGGGTGCGTCCTGCTCTGCCTCCCTTCCTCTCCCCTGTCCTCCCCTCCCCTCCCCACTTCTGCTGCCTGGCCTGCCTGCGGGAAACCAGTCATTAAAAGCCTCTGTGCCTACTCTGCTGGGACTGGAAACCTCTACTTGGGTTGAGTCTTTCTCCCTTTCTGTGTGGCTGTTTCTCCACATTTGCCTTTCGGTCAGATACCAAAAAACTGAATTTCCTCATGAAATCTCTGACCAAACTGCTCCCTTGTCAAAAAGCTTCTCTGAAGCACCGAGGAGCGCCTGCAAATTCACTGCTCTTGCTGAAGGTCCACACAGCTGACTGGAGCCTGGGTGAGACCCACACAGGACACCCAGAACCCCCTCCTTCTCTCCCAATAACCAGGCACCCACCAGGCCACCTGAGGCTCCAGGGTCCTGCATTTGAGCCCTAGAGCCCTGAAGGGTGACTCTGAATGGCTCTCACAACAGGAGCTACCTCATGCATGCTAGGCAAGCACTGTACCGCCAAGCAGCAGCCCCAGCTCCCTGAAAATCTTAAGGATATTCACAGATTTTTTTTTAAGCTGGGATCTCCCTATGTAGCCTAAGCTGGCCTCGAACTCACAGAGATCCTCCTGCCTCAGCCTCCCCTAGTGCTGGGTTTACAAGTGTGTGCAGCATGGTGCTTGGGTGCTGTGATCATTTTCCAGATGATGAAACCAAAGATCAGAAAGGCTGAGTAATGGTTTTGCTGAAGTAAACAGCACACTCTCTTGTCACACAGTAACCTGGGACTGTGTGTTCTCACCGCTCTGCCTCTCCAGGGCAGGGCTAGGGAATATACTCTCATCTGTAAATGTGCACCTTTGGCTCACCTGCAAGACCAAGAGAAAAGAAAACAGCTGAGGGCCACCGTGTCAAGAAATATCAAGATGCCCTGAAGCGCCAAGGTCTATGGATTCTACACATGCATAAAATAATTACTGCTTTCACAAAACGGCTGTGTTTGCCGCTAACAGGGAGCAGCCTGAACTAGGCTGTCCAACGGGCAGCCTTTAAATAACCTGAGGGAGAGATCAAAAGAAAACAAATCTTGGGCAGATTCATAGGAAGACTCTGATTAGTTCTTGGTTTTTTTTTTTTTTTTTTTTTTTTTCCTTTCAAATAAGCAACACCTCCCAAAAAACGGAAAGGGGCTGCCGGGTGCTGGTACCATGTGACAGGTGGGTTTCTCCGAAGCAGGGACCTGAACTGACGATTGGAAGTCCCATAGGGAGGGAGACCAAGGGGAGTTTGGGGATGCTGCCTGCATCTGAACAGTCATTTGCTGAATTGTGCTGCTCAGAGTTTTGTTACAGTGTAACATTCTGTTGTTATGGTGTAACATTCTGTTGGTACAGTGTAGCATTCGGTCTGTATAGTGTAGCATTTTGTGGTTGGTTTATGCAATACCATTGTGTATGTTTTTCCCCCTCTTCAACTGGAAACTATTTTTTGACTCAACATTTCTCTTGGTAAAAAATAAGGAAGCACACTCCATTCAGATACTGTGAAGAAATGATTTATAAGAACGCAACTGTGCATTACTGAACCCATGGGAAGACACAGCCTCCAACCTCCCCACCGACTTCTCAAAGCGCCAGCCAATACAACCAGGAAGCACCAGCTTTCAGACTGCAAAGGTCATGTTTTTCCATGAGCCCCCATTTTCCATGAACCCCCATTTTCCACAACCTCCCTCCTTCGCCCAGGCAGAGCTGCATCTGTGGCGCACTTGGCGAGCTGAATCAAAATACCTGTTCAGGGAAGAAGGCGCCCATCCACGCTGCTGTAATCTGATTTCATTTCAGATTCTGAACTAATGCTGCTCTTTGTCTAAACAGATTTTTGCTGGTCCACTTGCTGCTACTGTGGTCAAAGCATGGGTCATAGCAGCAAATTTTATTATTGAACCGAACAGGTTCACATCTGAATAGATTTACTGCACCCCAATCTGATACCCCTCTGCATCCACAGAGGCCCATTTAAGACGGTACCATTCTCTCTGGGCTCAGAAAGCCAGGCCTGGGTTGAGGAGACAGCCATACATAATCATGCATTTATATGCAGGCTGGAGTCAATATTTCACTGCATGTTTTTAGGCACAAAAGACATGAGAGTCTCTTAAGTACTAGAAAGAGCCCGTCCTCTCTATTTGGGGCAAGGGAGGAGGATAAGGGCTCACGGAACAGACGTTTTGCCAAGTGGACGGGAGGAAGGAAAGGGAGATAAACTGTTACTTGGGCCTGTCAGCCACAGGAACTGCTGCCTCACGAGCAGCCGCTGCGTGAGTGTGACCGCAGAGGTGTGAACCAGAGATGCGCGGATCCCATTTCCCACCGAGGATGCTGAGTTAGATGCGGTTCACACCTCTGTCCTTCCTCAGTATCCTCCTGTTAGCGGGAAAAATGATCAAGGGGGAAATGTTTCTTTCCTCCTCCCTCCTTAAGCCTCTAAAGACAATCAGTTCAACAAATTACAGCAGTAAAATCAAATTAATCAAAACTTCTATCGCCTTAGAAACAAAGGCTGTCTAGGTGCTTTATTTTTTAGAAAATCAAAGTCCAAATCTGGGACACACAGAAAGTGCTCCTTAACAGCTCACTTGTGAGACACTGACAAAGCTACTCGCTTTTTTACGAGGTTCTCAGTGTGCAAGCTGGAGGTCACTCTTCATTCGGTTCCTGAGAATGAGCCTGAATTTGGTCTGAATCTCTAGACTCCAACCTTAACAGAAACATCCACGCATTCAACACAGAAAGTAGACCACCTGTCACACAGCGCACTCGGAATCTCACTTCCTGTGTGTTTTGTTCATGTGATGGGGTGCAACCCCCATTCTGGTCTCATTGGTTATTCTGCTGCCAGACTGAAGGCAGAGGCCAGGACAAAGTTTAGCACCCAAAAAAGCAACAAATCCCCACCACTGCATCGAAAAAGAACCCTTCTTTCATCCCGTGGGGTAGGGGGTGCTTGTCGAGTTTGCATCTGTGAAAAGTGCTTGTTTTGGGGAGACTACTAGACATGTAGAACGGGTTGGGGGAATAAACAGTCAAGGAGGGACATGACCAAAATATGTTACAAGCATGGTGAAAACGTCATAAGGAAACTCAACACTTTAAAAATATCTACGCACTGTTTCAGTACAATGTAAAGATGGAACATTTCCCTGGTCAGTCTCCACTACCAAAACAGCATCTAACCTTTCTTTCATTTTCTGATTGCTGGAGCCCAGAACATGCCTGGCTGACGACAAGCCCTGAAACACTCAGCACAGGTGCCACGCACAGTGCCATGCACTTGAGGAGGCTGAGGCAGGAGAGTTGCTCGGGAACCAGGAATTCGCAGCCAGCTTAGGCAACAATAGTGAGACTTTGTCTATAACAACATAAAGAAAAAGCCAGCTGTCCGACCCTCAGCATTCCCAAAGAAACAGTGAGTTTACAGCATGTTAACTAAGAAATCCAGAGTGCCACATCTGGAGAGTAAAAGCGACTATCCACGCTCTTTTTCTTCTATTCTTTATCGTCAGCATCAGTGTTGTCAGGGTTGCAGGTAGAGCTCAGGCCTCACTCTTTCTGAGCAGGCGCCTGTACTGCCAGGGCCCGGCCACCAGCCCCACACGGCTTGAGGCTCTCTCCCTCCCCCATGGAGACACAATCTGACCCAAACCCGCATGGCCCGTCGGTGTTCTGCCAGACAGTGCCTCTTGGTTGGCATCTCTTTGTGTTTTAAGTGTAAATTTGTTGGTGGCTCTTTTTCAAGGGAATGCACCAAACTGAAGATTAACTCTCATCTGCGTATCTGGCTACACCACGGGTCACTGCGGGGCAGAAACTCTGGAGCAAGGGAAACTCGGTACAGTTAGGAGACCTGGAGACATCACTGGCTCTGGAAGCTCTGTCCCACACGGCCAACTCACACTGGGGTCTACTTGGAGTTAGAAGGTTAAAGAAACGCTCTCAGTAACAATAAAGTGTATGAACTTAGGAACAAAGCGTCTTTCTTTGGTCTAACAAAAGCTATACATTTAAATATTTAATGAACCTAATTTTCTTCCTATTTTTTTCTCCCAATGCTAGGGATCGAACCCTGTGCTTTCACACTGAGCTACATTTCCAGGCCTTTCGTTTATTTGTATTTTGAGGCAGAGTCTGGCTAAGTCCCCATATTGCAGCTCCAAGGGCTGCGACCCCAGGCTTCCCTCAGGCTTATTGACCGCATTTTCACTTTGCTGCTTCCGGAAATGACACTGACTATAAACTCGGAGGAACTTTCTGAAGAAACAGAAGTCTGCATGCAGCTCTGGCCTGTACATCTGGGGACCATGCGCAAACTGTGGGGGCCGGAACCTGCCCCCCAAAGCAGAGGACGTTTCTCTGCTTTCTCCAAGCTGCAATGTGAGCCTCAAAGGACAAAACCTCAGGACCTTAATGAGTGGTGTCTCTGAGTTGCCTCCAGAGTCTGGGGTTTGGTTCCTGGCTCCCCTCTTAGGTCTGGCACACACTGTGCACCCCCGTGCCTGCTCTGCCTTTGGGCTTTTTATTCCGAGGCAGACAGCAGAGAGAAAGAACATCACACGTAGGATGCTATGGCAGGAAAGAGATGCAAAGGATAAGGGAGGAAAAGGGAGAGACGTGGCCTTAAAGGAGAGGGTAACGCTCGGGAGCACGAGCTCGCTCTGAAGCTCAGAATGAGAAAAACAACCAACCGTAGCAGCAGCCACGCCTGGGTCTTTGCTGTTTGTTTCTGTAAGCGGTGCAGACCAGAGGATCCATCCGCCCCCGCCCCAGGGGCCGCTCACAGCAGATCCTCTCCCTCCTCCCCGCCATCACCAGGGCGGCCAAGCACAGGGCACCCCCTCTATCCCCAAACGCCCAGCATCCGTGCCGTTCCAGCGACCCGCGACCCGCGACCCCAGGCCCCAAACCTGCCATGCAGGGACCGAGCGGACCCTTACCTTCCTTCAGCATACCCACTTTCAGACACTTCATGAAGCGGCAAGCCTGGCAGGATTTACGTCTGCGCTTCGTGATTTCGCACTCGTTTGTGGCCGGGCAGCTGTATTCTATGTTACCTAGGACACAGAGTTGGAAGAAGGGAATGCGTTAGACTCGGAAGTCGAGAAAATGTAAGGTCCGCTGCCCCTGCCTCCTGCCCAGAGAAGTTCCAGGAGCTGCGTGGGGGGTACAAGAAAGGTCAGGAAGCTGCAGAGCCACCACCGCCCTGGCTGAGCCTGAGCGGCGTGTGCCTGCCTCTGAGCCCAGCACATAGGAGGCTGAGGCAGGAGGATCCCTGCAAGTTCAAGGTCAGCCTGGGCTACAGGCTGAAACCCTGTCCCCAAACAAAATAAAACAAAACCACAACAAAAATAAACTTAGGTCTTTGTTATAATCAGGCATGGTGGATAAGGCTGTAATCCCATCAACAGGAAGGCTGAGAAAGGAAGATAGGGAATCCACGGCCAGGCCCAGGGCCAGCCTGAACTACATGTTGAGACCCTGTCTCCTAAACAAATAAATAAAAATCCCTCATGCTCATGACTACTTTGAACTTTCTTCTGGAATTTCAGATTTTAGAAAGCTGCTACTTTGCATGGTAGACTAATTTCTCTTTGGATCTAAAAAGCATTTTGAAGTATACTATGTTCCCAAAAACAAACATGGGGTGCAGTGGTACTTTCCTGTAATCCCAGCACTCAGGAGGCTGAGGCAGTAGGATCACCACAAATTCAAGGTCATTTTTTTTTCTTTTTCATTTTTATGGGTACCAGGGATCGAACTCACGACTGCCTGCTTGCAAGGCAGGTGCTTATGCTGCTGAGCTAAATCCCTAGCCCCCAATTTAAGGTCATTTTGGGCTCCATAGTGATTCAAGGGAGCCTGAACTACATATGGAGAGCCTGCTCAAAAAGCAACCATATTACTAAGTTTTTGTTGGATCATTGATAAGAACTGTTGGCAGTGTCACTATTTGAATGTCACTTTGCATGCTTTAATGTTGTAACCTGAACAACTATTTCTAAGATGACAATATGTAACTTATCAACTAGTGATTTCTTACTGTTTATTTTTCTGTAGTTCTGTATTATTTCTACCTTCTTTTTCTCCATGTGTTTTTTGTTTCTCTTTAAATAATAATAATAATAATAATAATAATAATAAAGCAAACAAAACACCAGACTCCATTCTTGCACTGCTGCTCCCTCCTGGATTTTTCCTTCTGGTGACCAAACCCTTTGCACATAAGGATTTGGTTTTCCTCCCACAGAGCATCCTAAAGCCCACAGTGCAGAATGATCAGCAGGGACCTTGAGGCTGCCGGTGGGCAGGCACAGAAATGCCACTGTCCTAGCTGCAAGAATTTCCAGAACCTGAAGCAGGACCTCGGGCTTGGTAAAGGCTTCCCGATACAATTGCAGTCTTACATCAGTGACCTAACCCTAACCCTAACTCCAAACACTCACGCCCCACGGAAACGTTAGGAATAATAAATTGCCATGAAGTTATATTCTTAATATCAGACTTTAACTCAGCTATGGGAACACTCAAGATATGCTAAGTATATAACCTGGAAGAAGACTGGGACTTCCAACACCTTTCATCCGGAGGGAGCCTGAGGCTGTGGGTGCACTCCGGGGCGACTGTGGAGCCCACCCTGTCTCTCTCTCCCCTATGGCCCTGGCCACTCTCGCACTCACCGCCTGCCTCACCCTGGTGATTAAGTGCATTAGTATCTTAAAGAATCTGAATTCTGCTGATTGCCCTCCGGGGACGGGAGGTCAGCACATCAACTGCATACACCATCGCCAGAGACCAGAGAGCCTAATTGCAATGCCTCTGCTCTGAGGCTGAGATGCCCAGGGTCCATCCCAGCCCCTGGAACCCAGGCAGGTCCCACGGTCATTAGCACGGGGGCTGCCCACACCACAGCACGGATGAGACATTTCAGAGTTAATCACGCTCCGTGAACACTGATTCCTATTGACTATCTTTCTGCAGACTGAAGTCTCCTCATTAAACGTCGCATTAGTGGAGGGCAGGAGGGAACCAAACTCCATTTCTCAGCAGCTGCCTATGCAGCAGCAAGCAGGTTCCAGCAGCGGGACTTGCAGAACTGCTTGCGTATACGCGGTGTAGGGCCTCCTAACCCGAGCTCCCCTCCTGACCCCCATGTCATCTTTCTAACTATATAGAGGCACTCAGAAGTATAAAAGCAGCTCCTTCTAATATGTGGTTAAATAATAAGAACAATACCAAGTGTATCAATGATACCTACAATCACCTTCCTCAGAAACGTTAATGATGCTGTACTCAGAGAAAACCAAGAAGGCAGGACAAGCAGAAAGGCTGGGCCCAGGCTGAGACACGGAAGGTTTGGACTCTGAAGATTAAAGGAACCACACTTCACTGCAGTTTCTCCATCCATCTCGGGGAATTTATTTTTCCTTCAAGAGTACTGCTAGCCATGTCCTAAGCATGCGTGTTCCCCCACTGAATCCCTTCCATTCTAAATGACTTTCTCTGGTGCACAGCAGTAACACCAGCACTGGGAAGGCTGAGGCAGGAAGACCGCCATGAATTGGAGACCAGCCTGAACTATGGAGCAAGAACTGGCCTCAACACACTAAATAATAATAAACTAAACTAAAATAAATGAAACCCAAGCTTTTGCCTTCTTAGGAGTGACGAGACAGTAAGTGCTTAGAGGGGCCAGGAAAACAATATTAAGCCCATTTCTTTCCTAGTGGTGCCTAAAAGCAGCAGTTGGGTGCCCCTGACCCCCTCCTGGACTGTGGGCTGAGCACTGTTACCAGGGCTGGAAATGTCCAGGTGACCCAGTGGCCCCAGCAGCACTCTGACCTTCCTTCCTCCAGATCCTGCTGCTCTTCCTCCTCTTTCTCCTCCTCCTCCTCCCCGGCTCCTATGTATGTATCCCGCACACCCAAGTCTCAGCTTTGCTTCCTAGTCTGCAGCCCTGTGCCCTGAAGGACAAAGTGTGAGGCCAGCGAGCCAGGCCTCCTCCAGAGCTCGCCCTGCTCCGCCCTCCGGAATCTCCTCCTCCAGCCACCTGCTGCCGCTGCCACTGCTGCGCCTCCTTCAAGGCTGCCCTCTCTCTGCCAATGGCCTATCTCCCTATCTCTGCCTGACTTTTTTTCTTAAAATGATTTTCTAGACTCCATGTTTGACTCCACCTCCACGCAGATCTCTTAGGGAAACTTCCCAGAACTCAGCAGCAGAAAAGGATTTCTTGGTTCTCACAGCTTTGCAAGTGCTTTGGTCTGAGCGCAGGCGCACACCCTGGTTAGATGGTGACACCCAGGACCATCTCTCCGCAGCATGGAAAAGCCGCACATAAGTAACAATAAACCCATGTCGCATGGGACGCTCTTTGCCCAGGGTCATTGTAATCATGACATCAGCTCAGTCCTGTAAAGCAGTGACAGCCCCCATACCCAGCGAGCTGAACGCTCTCTGCAGAAGCAGTACTAAGAAAACAATTCCACAAGTAATAATGGATGGGGAAGAAAACCTAGCTACTTTTTCAAAACCTTGCAAGCAAGGTATTTTGGGAAAAACAAATGCTCCAGGTGCGGTGGTACATGCCGATAATCTCAACACCTGGGAGGCCGAGGCAGGAAGATCACAATGTGTTCAAGGCTAGTCTGGGTTACATAGTGAGTTCAAGGCCAGCCGGAATTACATAGCGAGACTCTGCCCAAAACTCAAAAAAATAAAAAAAATTAAAAATTAAAAAATAAATGCATAGCAAAGGCAAAAAAGGAAGCATTAGTGATAAATATATGTATTATACATAAAATACCATAATACACATAAAAACTGCAGAGTAAAATATGAAAAGAGAAAGAAAAATTATTAAAGCAAATCTGTAAGAGGTTTTAAAGAAAATCTTATTCTAATACGAACAGAATAAGAGGAGAATGATCTATGAACATGTAGGCAACACTGTGGATGGCACTGAGAGCCGTGTGACTTCTCTTCTTGTTCATCCTCGTGGTTATGGACAAAAGTGTTGCCCTCCGAGTTGGACCACGCTGGGGAAGATACTCAGGAGTGATTCGGTAATGATGGCAACTGGATCCACTGGTGCACAAATCACTGGATAAAGGTTTTAAGGTTTCTCCAAAAAGCCCAGGGGAAATTGCCGAGCTGCCCATGGGGAGCCCTTGGTCACCACAATGCAGATTTTCTGTCACACACTTGCTTTTCTCCAAGGCAAAGAGGACACAGAGGCAGGAGAGTTTTGCTTTCAAATGGATCCTTGTGGCTGGGGATGTAGCTCAGCAGCACAGTGCCTGCCTGACAGGCGCAAGGTCCTGAGTTCTATTCCGATACCAAAAATAAATCAACCACATGAATCCTTGATAGGGGAACATTGTTGTATTCAGAACTCACAGCACTTATGAGCGAGCCTGGAACTCGGCATTGGGTTGGGGCAGGGTAGGCATCGGCAGTGACCGGGACGACAGGACACGTCCACACCAGCTCAGCACAGGTGTTCAGGGCAGGACGCAGTAGGAGAACAGACGGGTGACATTTGGGGCCACATGCACTTGCATTCTGCTGTACTGAGGTAGAAAAGGGGCTTCCCAGAGCCACAGGGACCCCAATGACATCTTAATTAAAAATTCCCTGTGATGGGGAGAAGAGTGGTGGCCCAAAGTGGATCCTCAACACTCCAGTTGAATGGAAATCCACAGACAGGGTCCTAACACACAAGGCCCACGAGTTCCCCAACATCTGGGTGACACCTCGACCTCTGTTTTGGTAACGGTTCAAAGATGTGAGTCCCACAGGACCATGACATCGGTTTGGGCACCTATTTTCCCTGTGTCACCTCCAGCGAGCAGGGGACAGAGACAGACCCCATCAGCAAAGAGCGGCAGGGACAGCTCACCCAGGATTCTCTCCTGGGCTGTGCGGGCCTCAGGCTGCAGCTTGCTATTTTCTAGGACATGTTTGTTAGGTGGCACCAACGAGGGTCCAAACCCTGTACTGCTGAGGAGACTCTGGATTCCCCAGGTGTCCCTTGCAGCTGGGGATAAGCCCTGCACCA